AATAGATTAGGCTTTTAGGGAAATTTCCACATTTCGAATCACACTGTATAGTCTGTATTGACAGATTGCAGTGGACGTGGAAATAAGTAAATTAATAGCATATAAGTAAAGCAACCCTAAACTGTCGTTCTTCAATCGATTTTTTAACTTCCTCACATAGAAATAAAGTTGAAAATGTGTTTACCTCCAATAATGTGTCTACCATTATTAGGTAGCTGTCTGAATATAAAACACCATCTGAGCTCTTTTTAAATGTCTACATTTAAATAGGTGTATGTAAGTAACTAGTAATGTGTCTATTGCCCAGGATATTTCATATGATTTAAATTTACGTAATACGTATAATAATTATGTATATAATACGAAGTATTCTATTATCTGTTTCACAATAGCATAGCATATCACATAAAACTTTTTATTGCAAAATGTGCGCTAGTTAGGGCATTGTATAACATGTTAAAATCTACATAATACTTGCCTATACCTAAAGAAGGATTTCAAAACATGAATTTTCAGATAGTTCATTTGTAAATAAAAAAAAAATAGTGATTAATGTAGTGTATGTATACCTAACTGTTTTGTACATTTTATATTTCGACACTCGCGTGTCTTATTGCGTATTCTACTTAGATTTAGAACAACGACACAAATATTTTATTACTAGGTCTAGTTTATCATAATAATATTAAAATGTATTTAACTCGTCGAGTACCGGTTTTATAGACACAATTAAAGAACAATAGGTCGCGGTCACCGGTGACCGCTTGGTGTTTGACAGTTTAATTAGTAAAATGTATGAAATGGCGGGAAACATTTACAGTCGTTCATACTTAGAGCGCCATCTGTTATGTACTTACTGAACTAATTCGTTCGAAGTGTTTCGTGATTCGTTTAATAGATGGCAATAATACAATCTACTACAGTTTGCAATATTATGAAAGATGGCGCTACTAGTTTATAGTAGCAACAGTATTATCACGCTGTGTTTACATGTTATGTACAGTTAGTTTGGCGAAATAATGAGGCGTGCATAAATCATCATTTACCTTACGTGGTTGGTTTCATTGAATCAGTACTATGTGTACAAGGTCACCACTGATTGCTCAATTCTAATTAAATAGTAATAGACATTTATCGGAAGTTTTCTCGCATTCTCGACAAATTAAAATTCTCCATTGGCATGGAGTCTGTGAAGTATTCTTGATTTATGATAATATAATTTTAAGCCAGTGGATGCAGGTGGCGAGTTGTCGTTGGACGTGGAGGACTAAGAGACCTTTGTCCAGCAGTGGACGTCTTTCGACTGTTGATGATGATGATGATGATGATATAAAGCTAACTACTACACCAGTGTACTCGCATGTCAGGAGTCAGGATGGGGCCTATTTACTTCTGACATATTACGTCATTGAATAAAAGCGGTTGTCTTTTAGAATTAGATAATAAAATTAACTCCAATAGTCACAAAAAATATCGTACCTCAATCGATCGCATGATCCAAGTACCTCTGGTTACCTCCCAGTTTTTGTGAATCTATTAAATAATTCATTAAAGGAACTTACATAAACTGTATAATCTTTAATGAATGTGTGTAGAATTAGCAGGTGGCCATGGTGTGATCGTATCATATCGTAGCATCCGATCAGTTTTTGGAACTCGCCTCCGATGGGGTCAACGAACTTGCAATTTTTTATACGATGTTTGTACAATTTTTTGTTTTAATTTGTTAAGATTTGGCTGGACGTGGACAGTACACAATGTGGTGACTATTCAAAGAAATATATGAATGAAGTACTATATTATATGTGGGGTTAATGTCTTTGTTAGGTTCTGTACCAATGTGATTTAAAGTGTAGGCAGATGTTCCATTCTTAGGACAAAAGAAAAGAATGCCTGGGAACTTGGGAAACTTTTTGAAATGTGGTCTTAAGATTGAATTTTAGCCTCCATCAAGAGTCCCAATGCTTGCCAAATACACAGACATTTCCAAATACGTAGATAATTAGCATATAGTAAACTTATCAGTTCAGCACTTTTTGATGGAAGCTCTATTCTCAGCAGTAGCTTTTTGTCTTTTTCGGGCTCCTCGTCGCCTTAAATACTAGCTTGACTGATTCACTTACCAATCAACACAGTTGGCCCTGTAACTTCTATTCTATGATAAACCTTCTATCAGATTTGAAGACGAGTTTCTGCTTTCCAGTTCTGCTGACACCTAATGTCGTGACCTATCATTTAGGTACGTAACAGTTCTTATTAGCCATTACATAAGGATCTGTTTAGCTTAGCATGCGAATGTGGTCTGCACACGAGAATCCGTTAATTTGCACGTGAGTATGAGCTGCTCTGATACACATTACACATAGGTACAATTGTGTCATGCAATATTCACCTTTATTGTGTTCATGATAAGATGAATAGCAACCGCACTATAGCAAAAGTTTGCATCATTTTATTTATTTTATTAAATATTATCCTTATGACTTTGAAATAAAACACAAACTTGGTTGAAAAAAATTGCAGATAAAAGTCGAATGTCTGAATTATATCTTAAATGGAAATTTAGGCATTAACTATTGGCAGAAATCCAGATATTAGGCAGAATGGACGTCATTTAGCACGTGCTTGGATATAAAGCTGTCTCTGTCACTCATTTGTTTTTTACTAAAGTCAGACAAACAAAAATGTAGGTTAGTCAGTACTAAATTAACAAGAAGTCTAGGAGCTATTAGAGTTTCGACTTTCCTATTAATACCTTAGGTCTTAAAATCCTTCATACTCGTTCTCATACCTTTACATCTCACGCAAGTAGCACTCATAATTTTGGAATTGATAGCTTAAATTAAAATGACGCTAAAATGACATCACAATATTAATCCTATTTTTTTCTGTGTAATATTTGTCTTTCTTAGCAGCAAGCCTTATTTCCGTCTGATTCATTACTTAGCCAAATATGCTCTGTGCTTAGTCAAGCGGCAAGGATTCAACATAGTTTGGAGATAAGGGACTACAGAGTTGAATCGAGTTGACTTAACTCCTAAATCTCCATTCTGCTGACGGCCTTGCTATTTAGAACAGATTTTAAAGTTTCTGATTGGTCGATTTTGTTATACTGGATATTGACGTCATGAAAGCATCTTTGACAAAATTTCCGTTGTAACTGGGATATGTGTTTTGAATATTTATCTGGAGTGTAAAATCCCATCGTCTTTATGTCTCAAAATGTTTAATTGATAAACACATCTTAGTGCAAATACCAATAAATCATGACTTTGATACTTGCCTAATTAGTCATCTACCAGGTAGTTAAAAAAAATCCCACCGAAAAATCTGACCATGACACAAAACGAAAGATAATGTAATTCAATACAGATAACAGAATACACCAAACAGTGCAGATATTATGCAATACTACACGAGGAATTCGAAGCTAGATAACATTGCTCATACATTGCTGTCATCACTAGAGCAATCAAACAATATACGCTAACAAACCGAACAATGTATTTATAGATATGATGTGTGGCGGTGATGACGTAGATGCTAGCGCGGGTGTGTTACTCGATGCTCTTGTAGATGAGTCACTAATAATCAGAGGAGCGCTTGTTGACCCCTTTGAACTTGCCGGTAAGGACGCCTGACTGAGCTCTAATTTACCTACGGGTAAAAATGGTGTCGAAGATACGCAATAAGTATTGGCTGGACATTGGACATGTTAGTCCCCTAGCCCTTGAGTCCTATGATTAGGAGAAAAACCCTAAATGTCATCGGTAAGATTCATTGGTTTGCACCTTATTAAGGAAAATCTTAAGAAAATTAGTAAAGGAACATGAGAAATTGTATTCGAATACGATTTTCATTTAAATCAAGTAGCAGTCGGCAACAATTATGTGCAAGTGCCTAATTTAAGCCTGGAATCATCATTATAATATATTGCAGTTATGACATTGCTTGCCACTAAACCATATTTGAAATGATATGAGTGAGGGAAATGCTAGTGGAATAGTCATAATTTAGGGATAAGTAATTGGTTCATTGAACACTCGCGCCCTTGTCACACGGATCATACTTCAAAGTGGACCTGGCGACAAGCCAAGGAAACATTGAATTTAACATCTTTATAAGAAACGAAACCCTTCAGTTTTTAGAAGTTATTTGCTTGCCTTTATTGACAGAAGCGGTTGGTAATATACTCTAAGGACGCGTATCAAGTTTTAAAAATTATACGACCATCATCTTCACAAAGGCTTTTTGTTTTAACATTTACGCATCCTACATTGTTTATTGGCATCATGTCCGTTCCGCGAAATAATTCAAATCGCACACAACACAACTCTGTGGGTGTTTGGACTAGTTCAGATATGGTCGGCTTTTAGTCAGCTATTTGAACCACCTTCAACATAAATACGAGCTACAAAATAGTTCCATTAGTCGACAGATACCCCGCCGTGAATTTCAAGTAGCTCAGGATTAGAAAAACGTTTATTTTCCCCGATCAATACAACATGCAGACTTTCAGTCTACATTTCAGCTAGTACTTGCATCGTCCTAGTTTAAAAAGATTGATACTAGTCTATTTAAATGTGATATCTCTCGTCTGCTCTTAGCTTTGAACTCCCGCCGAGTAGCGGTACCTATTCCTATTACCGACGGCTTTCAGCGTTCTGTAAAAAGTTGAACCGGCTCACGTCATCGCATGCTTGGAGCGCGTGCGCCGTCTGCCACGCCCCCGCGAGCCCGCGCGTCCCCCGCTCACCTCCGGGTATATTTACCGGCGCGTCGCGTCGCCCCACAACCGTCAGTCGGTCAACAGTCCGCTTCAGCAGAGCCTTCCTACTCCGTCACGTGCAACCCTCACCATGTCCACCCTCTGTCACTCTCAACCACTCGTTGGCTCACTCACCAACGTTACGTAGGTGGTAGCGCTGAGAACGCCTTTTAGTTATTAATTTTCTAGTTAAATTAGATTCTTTACGTGCTTTCCTCTCGATTATTTTAAAATGGTTTCGCGATCCCGCGGTGCCCACGTGTTGGTTTGGGAGCAGCCTGGTTTGGAGGACCAGCGTCCAGGGAGCAAGGCCGGTGAGTTGCGGTTCTGTTTACTATTTGCAGCGTCGCGTCTATTGTAGTAACTACTACTGTGACGTCACGGGCAAGGCCGTCTACATGGGGTGCTTATCGTACGATATAATGTTAGAGAGCGCGGATAATACGCTAATCTATGCACCGCTTAGTGCAATGTTTTCATTTAACTCATGTCGCGGTTTTCAGAAAATGCAATAGCATCCTCTATTTATCGGCTTTCATAAAAACCTTTGTGGAATTAGTGACAAATGGTAAATGGAGTTATTTTTAAATTGACTAATAATATGATAATTATGTGTAATGTGTTACGCTCAGGAGTTGTGCCTACACTACTCATCACCCAGAATTCCTACTGAATTTTGATTAACCTACTATCTAACTATGTATAATTATAGTCTTTTATTCACACAGTGTAACTCCACATAATTTTATTCCTAATTTATAATTCACGTCCCTTGAAAACTTATTTAACTTAGAATTCCTAGAATCCAAACACTCGGATTGAGCATGTATGTGTTAATTCCGCAGGAAATCAGCGGTCGTCATTATTTTTATCTACAACTTCTCACCTTAGTTTCCGTACCTATTTATTTAAATATGTTTAGGTGACTTCATAAATTATTTTTTATGTTAAATATAGATAGATAGTATTTTATCCTTAATCAACAGATTCAGCATCCCACAAAAAACATGCATATGTAATACGTTTTGATTTGAATTTTCCACAAAAACTAGTCTCCTATGAGGTGAATTTTAAATTAGATAGCAACAGTTTGCAAACTATACACGACCTCATCACATGAATTCGCTCAGGAACATTGAAACTAATAAATAATTATATTGTTTATAGAGATATTAAACAAAATGTCATTAAAATGATTAACACTTGGAATTAAGCAAGCAATGACCTATTTCCAATAGACGGCAATACGTAGAAGTTTTTTAAATCAGTTCGATGTGAGACTAAAGGTTGGGTGGTTATAGGAATCATAGTATAGCTCCTATTAAGAAAAATAAAGTACATAATTATGTACATTAGTGTAGTCTTAAAGTACGGGAGGTAATTAATAAATGTATTATAAAATCGTTTATTCACGTATCGCAAGTACTTGCAACCACAGTAATTAAAGAAGGTGTTATATCGTCGGTTTCCGCAGTTAAGATTACAATCGTGTGATTTTCTATTAATCAATTAAACAGAAGCTCTTTATAAGTTTTTCAATTGCTTTGTGTATACATTCAATGTTGGAGTAAATGGGTATACAAATACCCATTTACTCCAACACAACGAACGTGATCTTTCTAAAAAACAGTATAGGAAATGTAGTTTATTGTCATCTAAAGTGCTGAACACAAAAAGTAGCTCTCTTCAACAATTTCGCGAAATAAGCAAAAAGTTTGTATAGGTACGTGTAGGTATTGTCAAATAGTTTTCTTTTTTTATTTATTGGTCATCCTTGGCTAGTCGCCTTGAATCGTTGATTCGGCTTTTTGAAATTGATATTTTTGACTATGATTTGGTTTGTGCAAAAAATTGTTTTTGTGACAGACTTTTATAGTTTTTTACATGACTGGTACTGATGCTATCTTTGTATCTAGAAATGTTTTGGTTTCGGTCACTCTACTTTTCTATAAATGTTTAAATCGACACGCATAAGTAGATAATGACTGGGTGCAAGAAAATTCTCAGAGTCCAAATAGTTTGTTTTCCATTTTTTTATGTTTCTATAAAGTCTATTTGCTTTTAAATCTACACAAAAGTTAGGACCATCTACATCTTAAGAGAACCAGTCGTAATTATCCAAAGAATTTCAATTAAAAATTAGATGATAACATTAAATTAGGTACTAATTGCTCCCATTAATTGCAACTAAGTGTCGCCAAGATTTAAATTAAATACTGGTACGGACGACAGAAATTCCCAATTAAATTGAAATTCTGTAGTTTGTTTTTGAGGACTACGTCAAAGGCTTTGGCAACAGAGGATGAAGATAAACTTTGTAATGTCTTTATTTGTGTCTGCAATGATAAGTATCAGTACTTATAGCTTGTTCAGAGATGACGCAAATAGTGTTGGAAATGTGATGAAATATTTTTCAATTTCCGTGCCTATCTCTACTATAGTTTGCTTTGAAAGATCATGTTATTTAAGTTCGACGATCATAATTTTTCGTACTTATTATTCTCCTTTCTCTTGACCATTATTTGTATCGTCTTTAACGGTTTTGTATTTACGATGTCCACAAGCTAAATTCTCATCAGGCAAACGGACACCTCAGTAGCGTAGAAACCAACTAATTCATCATCATCTTGCAGCATTCTCATGAACAGCTCCCATAAATATTATCAGCAGTTTTAATGATGGTTGCATAAACTAATACGCCTGTAATGATCCATCTCTCAAGGTCAAATAACAAAGACTCCTTTGTGCTCTGTCACAGTGCTTGAACACAATCCCGTAGGTAGAAATCTGTAATTACTATAACACTAACATACATAAGTACCTAACTATTGTAGTTGTGATGACCAGATTGTTTTACGGCCGGTGTTCAAAATTTTGTCTCTAGTAAGAAAACTTATTGGCAATGCAAATAAAGAAACATGTGTCACGTCGGTACAGTCGGTTCCTGTAAAAAACAACCTGAAATATTATACCTGCGCTGATCGGTACCGACCCGTACAGATCTGTCTATACGTACCGACCTGTTTCTTTATGTGAGCACCCTATATGCCTTAATGTGTATCTTTGGATAGGGAATTAGTCCTAGCTTCGTGTTAATTCTAGATGTAAATCTAGCCTAGCCAACGAAAGGAAACATGGTGTTATTTATGACCACAATATTTACAATTTAACCTATCAAAGGGACCTACGTAATATTTTATTTAGATTGACAGATTGGCGTTTATGCCATAAGTATTTATCTCTCATATTTATTTAATACGAGACGGGATCAAAATATTTTATACGCTTGTGCCATGCCGTTCCGCAGAATTTGATATCTGCAATCTCAATTTGGCGCCTTTTTTGTTGGCCGTCGCGTCGCTTGAGCCGCCATTTTTCCTGGAATGCTGCACGATTTCAGTTTGTTACTCGATCTGTGTCCACAATAGCATGTCAGGCCTCTAAAGAAGCTTATTTTATGAATAACAATGTACTTACCTAGTTACGTTAAATAATATTTCAGATGCTTCAATTGAGTAATACTAAAGAATATAATATGTTCAGAAGTGGACGTCCTGTGGCTGATATGAGCCCCTAAGGATACGTACTCACTGGCCATAAATGCGATATACCTACTTTATGTAGGTATGTAGGTGTACTTAATAATCAACTAAAGTAGATCGTGATTCCAGTCTTGCTTCGTAGCAAATTTTTAGTTATTATCTACTTTAAACTATTTCAATTATAAAGTCGGTTTTTAACTTTGTGGTGTTGCCACAAATTGTTCGATAGTTACGGGAAAACATTAAGGAAATGTGTCTAAATATTGCGGTCAAAAAGGGAAAGGAAAACGAAATAAAATAATAAATGAAATATATTAATATGTGTTATAAAACAAATACATAAATAAGTCGTTTATCATAATACAAATTCACGTGTAGACAAAATTAAAGAAACCGGGAAGATTTTGTATTGTAATTTTCTGATTTTTCGCAGTAAAAGTCCGTAAAATGTAAATGAGTGTTGGGTCATGGTCGCGTGATGTCAGAGAGGTCAACGTCCTCTGGCAACGTTATAGTCCATCTAGCTATTGACCAATATTCAAGACAGTCTCCAATAATTCGATGTCTAAAAGGGTTTTGATTAGGACAGTTGATGTTCATAAAAGGATCATTTATGTAGTACTGCCGAGCTGCCCCGACCAGGGGGCTTACTCTTGAATCCAATTCCGATCGATCGACATTGGTATTGTGAAATTTCGTACTCTTGAGTCGCAACACTAGCGCCCATTGCATCCGTATTGCGGGAATATTGAATGAACTAAATGGTATTGAGTTTGGCTTTATATTCCGTACTCTGAATGCTATTTTAACAGCTACGATAGGGGTTGTATAGTTTTGACATTGAATAATTATTGAGATTTTATTGGATTGAAATTGCATTGACATTGAGATTGGTTTCAAGAGTAAGCACCCAGGGCCGAGCCGCCCCTGTGTGCGAAGTGTGCGGCGCACACAGGCGCCAAGACAATAGGGGCGCCGTGTCGCGCCACCACCTCTACTTGAATTATTTTTGTTACCTAAATTATTATATTTTTGGTAGTAGAGTATCGATAAGTAAGTAGGTACAATAGGCGCCTTGTATACAACAAAACTTATATTACGCTTATTAAAAGTCTCTCAATATTTATGTTTATTATTATTCACGATTATGGTTTCATTTTACGCTTAGGGTTTTAGTTTACATTACTAACGAGTTACGAGATCAACGTACAAACGGCGGCAGTTCTTTTGAACTACAGATAAAGTAGGTACTAGTTATATTGAATCGTAAAGGCGCCGACTTTGTATGAGTAAGTATGAGTGCAAGAGGAGTAGGGTCACAGGGATTCCACGATTTTAACGAACGAGAGAGTTAAGCCAAAACAAAACAATCATTTGATTGAAAGTGTGTGTAAGGTGCGCATTTAATTTTTTTTTACCTTGTGTTTGGGTTTGATTAACTTGTGATGAGGATTTTACACCTAGATAGACTGAGAATGTCATTAAGGTTCTGATGATGAAGAAGTGTAATTGTTAAGACTTTGACTGCCAATAAAAAACTGTTGAAGGTAAATCCTCCGCTAACGCCGGTCACCGGTGACCCCCATGGCGTTTAACGTGTTAAGGGAACTCCTCAACGGTATACAGTAACTACCTTGTGTTTGAGCTTGATTAATCTGTATTGATTACAACTTTGCCCCTATGTAGATTATAAGTGACAAACAAGCTCTACACTGTAAATAATAAAATAAAAACTGCGTTTAAAAAACCGACTTCAAAAAACCAAAAACTAA